CCTAAACTATTAGGACCACATATGACTGTAGATAAGAACAAAAACTATAACCTCATACACATCCTTGATGAAATCTTATAAATCATGAGTATCACCAATTAACAAGAATAAAGAGTAATAAATAACCTGAATGGGTTGAATTCATATATATATAACCCAAGATATATGTTTCTAGTCTTCATTGAAAACTGAGGATGTACATTGTTAAAGTGTTTCTAGGCTTCACCATTGAAAAGGTGCATAATCACTCCATCTATGATATCATGTGATTGATACCATATCATATGCTCAACAATCTTTAGTGACATGAATAACCTATATAGTCTAGGTGTGATTGAGAAGTATCTAAGTTTTTTTTTACTACAAGAGTTCTGGGTTTATAACAAGACTATCCATACATTTTGCACTCGATCAACTTTATATTTTTAGTATAACATCTAGAAGTTTGGACACACGTCAATTTTCTAGTAACCTAGACCAAGGGGTTTCATTATAAACATAATAGCATAAAAGTTCTCTTTTAGCCTGTTCCATTCAGGTAAAAGTTTTCTCATCCATTTGAGAATTCTATCATAATCAACCTCACTCAACCCATGATCTGAGTTAAAGGTGAACACTTATGCAAAAATTAATAATTTTCCATTATTTATGCAACCATCCCATAATGGTTTGTTATAATATTTTAAAATATCAAAAAACCTGATCGTACCTACATTAGATTTTTCATCTATGATTGGACATGGATCGACATGACCCTGATTCATTATCATTGCAACTATAACAATATTTCCATAAGGATTACTAATATCATCAACATCTCCATGTTGTTGCCAACACTAGAAGTTGTCCCAACCATCCTTTCTACTATGGTATCTTAAAGAACATATGGTTCTTTATATGCATACCAATATAAGTATTTCTATGAAGCCTTTTTGTAAGGACATCTAATACTACTTCCACTAATATTTCTCATATTAAAAAGTGAGTAATTCAAAAAATCAATAGTAAAAAACAAGCATATATATTCTAAGTAATTCAAAAAATCAATGGTAGAAAACAAACATCTATATTCTAACATAAACTATTAGGATTAGGTATGACCATATATAAAAATAAAAACTATAGCCTCATACACATCCCTGGTGGCAACTTATAAACCATGAGGATCACCAACTAACAAGAATAAGGAGTAATAAATGACTTGAATGGATTGAATTTATATGTATAAAACCTAAGACATATATTCCTAGTCTTCACTAAAAACTGAAGATTCATATTGTTAAATTGTTTCCACATTTTACCATTGAAAAGGTGTATCATCACTCCATCTAGAATATTATATGATTGGTACCATGTTATATTGATTGGCATTTAAAAATGCATTTTTATTAAGGTTTTATATCATTATTTTGCACTTGAAGTATCAATAACTCCTTAAGTAATACATGTTTTATAATAACATATCTAATAATATAAGATACCTTTAATTTATGGTAAATGTTCATTTTAAATGCAGCCCTATCACATAAATAAAAGGATTGATTGATGAGTTTAAAAACTGAAATTGAAAGGATAAAGAGATGACCAAACTTAGAAAAGAGATGCTGGTGTAGTTCAAACCAAAATACTATTCAGTAATTGAGTCATATCTGGAGCTGTAGATCTCAAATTTAAGTCTACTTTATATGGATGGAAAGGAAAGACATAGGCCTATAACTTTCATAGGAGCTCAAAATTTAAAAAGACCATTTTTTAGTCCAAATTATAGCAAAAACAAAGAAATCTAAATCTATTATGCAGTTTAAATATTATTTAGTGTTAGCCTATATCTAGAGTTCTAGAAGTCCAAATGACCTTTATTTTATTTTTTTCTGGAAAGCTGAGATAATTTTCTACAACTTTCATGTTTTCAAGTTGTTCCAATTCTAACGTTATCAATGATATTTTAGGTAGACAAGAGAAGATAAAAATTGTCATCAAGTCAAAAGTTGGCCACCCATTCATTAATTAATCATCAAATCAATAGTTCCCAATTTTGGCCTATAAAAGGAGTCATTTACCATGCATTTAGACATCTTCGTTTTCAAATCAAGATCATGCTCTTACCTTTTTTTTTTGTATTTTTATAATGCTTGAGTTTTATTTTTATTAATATATTGTTTATGCCTTTCAATTCTTTTCATTTTCTTAGTTAACTTTTATCTTATTTATGTTCTTATTTTATTTTTATTTTTTTCATTATAATTAGTTAAGTTTATTATGTCAAAGTGAAAAGGTTACACTAATTGTGTAAAAATAAGTATAGTGTAAACTTAATATAGACTTTAATGTTTGATGCTAACATGTTTTGTATTTATTATCTTATTCACTGTTCAATACTTTACTTGTTAAATGACTAATCTAGATTTATGTTGTATAACACTTGGTACAACAAATACTTGGCACTCTCATAGCCCATACTATATGGTATAATCGACACCTGAACTATAAAAGGAACTTGATTTGTTGTTAGCATAAGTTACAATCAGGAATACCTAACAATATTTACAAGTATTAGCATTAATCAAATAAGATAACTAATGTAACATGTTAACAATTTATAATATGATTAGAACCTCTTTTGTGTGTGGTTTTCAATTAAATAATAAGAGTTTATACTATACTTGATTGACATACCATTAGTACATCCTCTAACCTTGACATTTATTGTTATCATTATTTAATCCTTACATTAATCTTCTGTCTTAAAGTTCTCATCACCTTCTTCTTCTTCTTCATTATTATTATTACTATGATTATTATTATTACTACTATTATTACTACTATTAGTATTATTGTTGTTATTATTGTTGTTGTATTATTGTTATCTATAATTTATACAATTAACCTCCCTATAGTTCGACTCCAGTTTTATCAAGTTATTTATTACTTCGACATTCCTACACTTGGAAGAAGACATCAATTATTTGGTCATGTCACTACAACCCTTGGGGACAACTCATCAATTATTGTATTAGCTAAAAATCCAGTTTTTTATGACAAAAGTAAACACATTGACATAAGATTTTATTATCTAAGAGATTGCATTACAGACAAGAAAGTTGAAGTCAAGTATATGAAGACTTAAGACCAAGTAGCAGATGTTTTCACAAAACCACTCAAATATGATATTTTTGCAAAGATGAGAGATATGTTAGGAGTTATGAAAAATGATAACAATTGATATTAAGGGGTAGTGTTGAAATTCCATATCAACTAGGATTTGTAATTTATAAGAGATTAAATATTAGTTAAAGGAGGAATCCTTGATGAAAAATGATTTGTAATAAACTAGTTTATTACAATCATTGCCTAATTAAAATGTTAGATTCCTTATTAGATTAGGATTTCCCTTGAATAGTAATTTCTTGATAAGTTAGGTCTTGAGACATATAAATAGGCTTGTAATCTTAAGCATTACATATAAGTTGAGAAAGATAGAAAGACGAGCTAAAAAGGTTTATCTTTTGAGAGAACTCTTAATAAAATATTATTCATCTCATTCTTCTTCTTTGTTCATTTGTTTTATTTTTATAAATTAACTACTACATCCTATTCATCTTTTCGAATAGAATGCTATCAAGTACTAGAGAAGAAACCTCTTAAAAAGACCCTTAAGGGTCAACGAGCTTGGATTATAGGCGAAAGAACATATCAGTCTCCAGATACTAAAGCCAATACTATTGGGATGTTGCCATTAATGGGCAACAACATCTGCAACCTATCTTCTAAAAGAAAATGGCTGTCATTATCAAAGAAAGAAGGTCAGCTTGTGAAAGTAAAAAGGATTGCTAGTGCAGCAATCGAAAGTCACAAAGTAGGTAAAGAATAGGTGGTTACCATTGTTGACAAATGAGTTGAAAGAGCTGCCATTAAAGCCTATAAATAGAGGCATCACTTGGAGAGTAAAATGAGTGAGAGAGAGTTAGAGAGTATGAGGAAGAGAGTGGCTGCAATGGTTACTACCATTACAACAGCTGCAAGTGCAGCAATAAGAACTGGAAGTTGAGTTTGAGTAGATATAATCCTCTTCCTTCATGTATTTATATTATATTATTTCTTTATTTTTAATAATATGGATATTTCTCGTGAATATAGATAATTTGTCAAACCACGTTAAATATTGTGTTAGTATGCTTAGCCTCCAATAAAAAACTATGAAAACATTATAAGTCAGAATCTCTACCAAATACTCTGCTGTTTGATTAGTACTTAAAAGTGCATTTTTATCATGGTTTTATATCATCATTTTACACTTGAAGTATCAATAACTCGTTAACTAAAGCATGTTTTATAATAATATATCTAATAATATAAAATACCATTAATTTGTGGTAAATGTTCATTTTAAATGCAGGCCTATCATATAAATGAAAGGATTGATTGATGACTTTAAGAACTTAAATTGCAAGGATAAAGAGATGGCCAAACTTAGAAAAGAGATGTCGGTGCAATCCAAACCGGAA